CATCTTTTAATTTTCACACATCAACTGCTTCTCTAACCCAACTCTATTCAAAGTAAGATTTTTTTTTCAATTCCAAGTCAAGATAACTCACACTTGATATCCCAACACTAAGAATCTTTCATGTCTTGCAACTTTCACTCCACAAGAGATGTTGCTTATTTTGCAAGTCTCCTTGATACAATTTTCTTAGCTTGCTCAAATTGTAATAAAGAACTTCTGTTTGGTCCTAAATTATAAATAGAGGGGCGGTGTGTGTGTGTGTGTCTATAAGTAAAATTTTTGTTCCAATTTATCTATTATTTTGAAAGATTATCAAACAATAAAGGTGGAGATTTCTTTTTCCACAAGTTCAGACGACATGTCCCATGGTTGAGAAGAATTGGAAGAAAGCTGTTGAGAGACTTTCTGAGAGATTAAGATTCCAAAAGCTTGCTGTCAAGTTGAAGACAAACGTTTGCGGTGGTAATTATATGATACATAGAGATAACAGGGATAGTTTGGTTGGTAATATTCTCTAAGGTTTAGAGGTTCTTCTTGTACTTAAACTTGAACGGTTTTTATTTTTCTCAGATATAAAAGCTGGGTCCCAAACAATCGTCCTCCCTTGTAAACACTTTTTTGACTGCTTTCATTCATATCATATCAGTGACATTATTTTGCCATCTTAGTACGCGAACCTAAAGCTGAAGGATCCAAAAATAAGACATACACATCCACTAAACTTCACTATCATGCCAACTTTTATCCCTTTATCAATCATCCACTGAAAGGCTACACTTATTCAATTGATACCTCATCAGGTACACTAAGGGCATCAATAATCCTTTTTCTTTGAAAAATATTATAGTTTTATTTATGAGATATTAATTACGACCTTTTTATCTCTGGATAGATGCATCGAATTTTAGGGTTCGTAAAACTTGTAAATTAACTCATAGTTTCTTAAAGAATATGAGCTTTTGAAGTTTGTGATTCGAAGAGATCAATGTTAATTCGGTTATCAAGTCCTTTAACCCGATGACGAATAATTTATATACACACACACATACACACATGCATGCATGGTACTTAAGTAGAATATCGAAGTCTTTTTACTAAGTTTAATAGTTGTTAGTAGATAAACTCGTCATTAAAGATAAACAAATCAATTATAGCTTTTAGAAGGATTTCTTAAATCAAATTCACATATTGATGAATGAGAGAAATTTTCTCTCTCTTCTGAAGCATTGTTTAACTATGAGCAGAAATATTATTAGTGGTATCCTTGTATGGGAACATGATACATGCTTGGTCCTATTTGTTTCTGAAACAGGACACACAGACTAAGTGCTTCATACGAAGAAGCACATGGGTTTACAGGGCACTTCAAACTTTATCAAAGAGCATAAAATGAATGGTGGTGGTGAGTTGTGAGTTGTGAAGGACTCTAAAGTCTAAAATCTTGGGGGAATCATCACAGCCTAGGATGTGTCACACTGTGTGTGGGTCTCCCAAATTATCTACTTAATTGCTGAAGTATGATGAGGGTCACTGCTTTTAGTAGTGAGACGAATCTGTCCTTCAAGTCTTCAACTGCTTCATCTAGTCACACTCATTCATTTCCTGCCCACCTATAATTTTAAGCCATTTTTTTTAATCTCTGATTTTGCCCTAGTACCACAGATTTTTTATCTAGACTAGTTCGGTCAATAACTTGTGGATACTTCTTTAAATGACATATCTTTCAATTGAGAATCTAATCGCTGCTAGCTACCCAGAATTTGAACTCAAGGCCTCTAATTAAGAGAGATCAATCCTTAAGTCAATTGATCCAATCATCCGATAGTTTAATATTTGTCATTCTCACTTGATATAAGTCATATTTTTCTTTATCATCCTAAATATAAGTCACTTTGGTGAAAAATTAATGTTCCCTATCTACTAATATCTTTATTGATTGTTTATGACATAAGGAAAGATTAGATGTTGTGTTTGGATTAGAGGGTATTTGGATTTAGACCAAATCTATTAATTTGGGCAGATGAAAATTTGTTCATTTATATATTTGATCCAAATCCAAGTGAATTTTATTATAATAATTCTTTAAAATTTCATTCAAGTGTTAGAATTTACAAAGGATTTTAAAGTACTAGAATTTGAAATTTTTATACTTTCTCCATTTAAAAATATCAGACATTTTTAATTAAACCTCATTTCTCAATAAATTAATTAACTATATTCAAACTAACATCATCTATCTAAATTTACCTTTACATTTAATAGGATATTTTACTTGAAAATAAATATAAAATAATTTATTTATTAAGAAAATTATTGAAAAAACTATATTAATTTTACCTTAAAAGACTATAAATATTTTATATTTTTTAATATCCAATCCCTTAAAAAAATACCTTACATTTTTAAATTGGGGAGTATTATCTATACAAAGGATTTTAAGTATAAGAGTTTAAATGTAAAATTCAAATTCATCCATCCTAAAGGATTCTAAAGATAATTAAGATAGATTGATTTTAATTGGAGGGTGATCTTGAACAATATAATGATAATTTTTTTACATTAATGTAATGAATTCAAATTACTTTTAATTACTTTCCTTATCCCTGTGAAATAATTAATTGTGACTTATATTAAGAATTAGAAAAGGTATATATATACCACATGAGGTGAAACTGTAAAAGTCACAATCAAAAACCTCATACATGCATATTTAAAAAAAAAAAATTGGCTAACCTTGGTTTTTCTTAGTAAATATATTTCAAATTGAAATTTTTTTTTTCTAAATTTACCTTTAACAATTAATGTTTCTTTCTCTTTACTTGTAATCCCAAAATAAGTATTTATTATTTAAAGTAATGATATTGTAGAGGTGGAACTATATTATGCAGAATTTTCATAGAAGACAACTCATATTGAAGTATTTGATGATGCCGTGACAAGCGAATCATTAGTACATAAAAACTAGTTCGACTCAAACTGACTTCCAAGTTCAATTAGCTGGACTTAGAACTAGTCATACGCTTGGTCTGAAAAACTCTCAGATCAGCTGAAAAGTAAATCGGTGAAAAAAAAAACAAAAGAATGGATCAAAACCAGTGAGAATCAGCTGCAAACCAACCAAATCGATCTTGAACTGGGTTTTCTTTAAAAAAAATTATCAATAACCCAAAACCATGTTTTTTTTTTTTTGGTGTTTTCATTTGTATTTTGGTTGGTCATTTATTAAAATTTGGATATGTTCATTATTTCTAATGCTACCGTCAATCTTGATAAAGAGAACAGACACGAAGCATGCGATCTGACGCAATCAGCGGCCGCAGGGAAAAAAACCTGTTTTTAATACGAACATTTTCATACATATTTTTTGTTATTTTACATTTTTATCTCGATACTTGTTGTTAACAAATTTTTAAAATAAATTTATGATGAGAGAAAAGTCACAGAAAAAAATTGTGCAACGATGTGTAAAGAATAAAAATTTAAAAAAAATGTATTTTAAATAATTATATATAAATGAGTGATTTTAAAAATCATAAAATTTACAAAAAAGTAAAAAAAATTCCTAATAATTTAATAAAAAATGGTTATATATAATTATATAAACAGTGACAGTGATGATATATATCAAAAGAAAGGAGCCAGATAGGCAGAGATTAATAGGTAGATAAACTCTTTGATGGTTGGGCCAATTGGGTCTAAATTCTAAAATTATCAGTGGACTTGAGACTTGAGAGCAGCCCAAAAAGAACCAAAAAATTGATAATCCAAAAGAAAAAAAAATTGGAAACCGAGAATTCAAAAAAAGTACCAACAGGCACTTATTTGAGCAATTAGAAGTTTAGACAGCTTAATTTGAGGTCTCGTGTTTGAGTCCCAAGATACGTAGAAGTGCAGCTGAGCATACAAAATGTGTCTCGCTAGTAGTACCTGGAAAACCACCACATTAAGGGCTCAACTTATACAAGGATTCGGATTAGTCTGGAATAGGATAGGCGGACAATAAACCCAAAATACCCACACTCTCCAGGATACCGGGTGAAAAACTGTCTAATTACTATTAATTTAAAAACAAAGTATATTCAAGATGAAGCATGATCATATTTTTAAAGAAAACAACACCTGCACTGGCTGACTCGCGCATTATACTCATGATATAGAGGAGTTAATGACTATGATGGAACCTCCAATGAAGTATAGAAACAAGTTGCATCAGGATTTGGATAATGAATATTATTTCTAGTTTTCCTTTCTCCTCATTTTCTCTACTCACTTTCTTTTTTCTCAACTTTTCCCCCATTCAAATGGGCCATCATGCTTTGTAAGACGTGTACTATACTCTCTTTAATTTAAAATATAAAACATTAATAATTAATTTACAATTCTCAAAAAATATTAGTTGAAACTTTAATTTTAAAAAAATTATATCTTTTTAATTATATCCTCATTAAATGCACTATAGTAGAACCTTAATAATAGTAATTAAAATTTTAATACATCATTTTTTTTAAAAAAAGTAATAAATGAAGTAAAGGTAGAGTTAAAAAACAATTATAAGGTACAGTTGAAAAGACAATTATAAAAATTACTCAATGTCCATATTTTGAATCAAACAAAACTTTTGAAAAATACCCTTCTCTTATGGTTTGGAGGGAGTAACATTTAACACTCAACCACATCTCAAATAAAATGCTTCTAACAGACAGAAACCTGTACGCAATCAAATTCTCTTTCTTTTTTGGGACAAGAGGGCAATTACTGGAATGACACTAGTCAGGATTACTCCAAAACCAGAGAAAAGTCTAATAGTCTACGATCAATCTTGGCTCCATCTCTCTACCACAAGAAGATGTCGCAACCAAAAATCAAGGCTGCATTAAACTTGCCCAGATTAGTCATGGAGATTCAGAATCCTGAAAGATACTGAAGGAACGCCTCCAACACAAGGCTTTTCAAGGCATACACTTCACCAACCTAGGACGCCAACTGAACTGAACATGAGATGAAGCATAGAACACCGCTAGAGCTTTTCATTCAAAAGTACAAATCAAAATATTAAAGATCCAGATCCCAGTGCATATAAACAAACTATCAAGGAAACAGAAATATCAGGAAAAGGAAACTTGAGGCCTCAAAAAACAGGGATGATAATTAAAAAGTTTCTAGTGAACCCAACCAGCCTCAAGTTGCTTACAGTGTTGAATCCTTGCATTGCATGTGACAACTTACAATAAAAAAAAATTACTCCTTCCAGTCTTCAGCTCTTAACAAAATTGTAATGCTAATAAAAAATAAACATGTAGGGTACATTGGCTTCTCACTCAATGATTAGCTATTCAGCGTTTTGATTCACCGGAGTGGTCGGAAGTTTTTCTTTCCTCTTCAGGTGGCCGAACTCGAGCCGCTACTGTTCACTGGGGATACAAGGCCTCCAAACTGTTTCATTGCCCAAATCCATGAGAGCAATACCCTTTACAGTTAAGTCGGCTCTAATCTTATCACTCTTGGGGAAGTCCTTGTTAATTCTTGCCTGAGTTCTCTCTTCTATCAAACGCAGTACATCATCTTCCAACAGTCCTGCTCTCTTCAATGCCTTGTCTTTCAACTGCTGCAGAACCTGTCGAACAAATACCAAGTCTTTCTCAAATTCCATCCATAATGGCCATCTTAATGAATAGTCAACTCTTGGGTTAATGCTTAATGAATAATCAACTCTAGGTTAATGCTTGTACATAATAGACAGGCATAAATATACAGAATAATGTATCACCTCGGCATAGGAAGAAGGGGACAATAATCCCAGGATTTTTAAGATTTCTTTAACTTCTTTCTCTACTGCAGCTAGAGATTCCAACAATTCTAAAAGCTGCTTCTTCTGTATCTTTTTCTGGATGTCACATGGAATATATTCCATAAATTACAGGCACATGACAGACTATAGGAAAAGAAATGTGAGATCCGGTCAACCAAGAATCTGACGACTTTGAATACCTACCTTCAGCATCTTCAAAGAACTGTTTACAAATTTCAAGGCTTCTTGGAAAGCACCAGTAAGTACTACCGGCGTTTGCAAGTCATCTGACATCTTTTCATCAAACTCTTCTCGCACCTTTTTAATGCAATTTATGGCAGCGTCACTAACTTTAGGTCCCTTTTTATTCTGTTCCACGCTTCCTTCTTGAAATGATGATAAAGCTGCTTCACAATCTTGAAGAGTCTAACCAGCCATAAAAACAGGATCCTTACCGTAAGAAAAAAGAAAATATTTCTGAAAACTTTTCCAACAGTTATCACATCAAATGCATGGCCCCATTCTTTGTCTTGTCTTGTGTTTTTTTAACATCTATAAATGAAAATCTATTCATGCAGAAGATCAATCGTTGACTAGAAAACAAGAACCACCCTACATAAGACTGCCACCAAACCCTAATTAGGAAAACTTTTTTGTGACATCAGGCTACTAGTTATACGCTTTTACTGATTTTACACATGCAATGATCACGTTACATTACAGGCAAGAACCATCATTCCAGGTAGGCTATCAGAATAATCTGACCCAGACAAAGCGAGAGAAGAGATAAATAATGATATCAAAGAATGTCAGTAAATATTTTCTTTCTAGAAAAGATCAAAGTATCCAGGAGAGAAACGCTGGTGATTTTAATTCAAAGAAACAACTCATGCATCAGCCATCAGATCCGAGGGCATAAAATATCGGTCATTCACGAACATGACATGTATGGGGTGGGGTAAAACAACCAGAAACAAACAAATTACATCCAGATAAAACAATGCGAAAATAAACTGTCTCAACCTCAGGCAAGGAACCAGTAAATTAAGCATTGACGCAACAATTGTGATAGATTATCCAGTGCTGCTTACTTGATATATATAGTAAATAGTGTCTGATGAACTTTCCAATTGTAAGATTGTGAAATTTAGAGGGGATTTGTAATGAGCACTAATCAAGAAATGTCTCAAAGCAATTGGATGGTACCGCTCAGTGATCTGCAAAAACAGAGGAAAAGCAATTGCAAGGCATCTTTAAAAATATTCTAACACATAGATGCTCCTAAGAATATAAACAAGACAATAATTAACTGTTCTGTTATTTACCTCGCGAATAGTGAAGAAGTTGCCCAAGGATTTTGACATCTTCTCATTGTTATTGGTGACATGACCATTATGCATCCAATAACTGACTTTGCTCTCTTGGCATGCAGCACAGCTCTGGGCAATTTCATTCTCATGATGTGGGAAAATCAAATCGATTCCACCGCCATGAATATCAAATCTGGTAGTTAAATAATGGGCACTCATTGCACTGCATTCCATATGCCACCCAGGTCTTCCAGGACCCCAAGGGCTGTCCCAGCTTGGCTCACCAGGCTTAGAAGACTGCAATTATTTATTAGAACATAAGAAATACATGAGATATTAACCAGAATGCGTACAAAGTAAATGGTAAAGGTCTTCAGACCTTCCATAATGCAAAGTCAGCAGGATGACGCTTTCTTGTGTCAACAGCCACTCGTTCCCCAGCCCTATTATGTTCTAGCTTTTGTCCCGACAGACAGCCATAGTTTGGAAATTTTTCAACAGCAAAGAAAACATCTCCATCAACTTCATATGCAAATCCCTTTTTGATAATCTGCAGAATAAATCAACCTCCTCAATATATATTAATTCCTTGAAATTAAAGGAAAACAAACCATAATAACATTAACATTTGTCATTGCACTTTCTCATGCTTATTCGCATAACATCATTCTTGAGCTCTAAAATATAAATAAAAGTAGCACAAGTATTGCAATATTTTTCTGTATTATATATCATGAATATTTAATAATACATAACAATTCTTACAACAATGATAGATGATAAGCATTATATATATAACGAACTAAAACAAAAAAAAAAAATCAAATTTCCAAATACAATCCCAAAGTTCATATGGCTTTATCAAAATTAAACCATGGCAATGTAGGACATTACAGCTGTTCACACAACTCTGTGCATACAAGGACTTTTAATCTCTAGAATCCACAACTCTATGGTTATCCAAGGTTCCTAACATCAGCTAAAAATTCATATATCGATTAAAAATAAAGTAAAGTAGAATATGATATTAGAGATGGGATATAGGCATACCACATGCTCAATATGGGTATGGCTTCAATGTTATCCATGCTTTAGAAAATATTAATCATTTGACACCTAGGGAGTTATATTCCAAAGCGAAGCAATGTGCACCCATGAATGCATAAATTTAACCATTCTAAACACAATGGATCTACTTCATATACCTCTTATGCTTAGTAATGAAATCATGAAGAGTTATTCATCTTAAAGTGAAAACACATTATCAATTATTTTTCAGTTTTATTTTGAAAACAATGCGACTATGGAGGACTTGTGGACATTTAACCAAGTACCCACTTCCTTTGTTTTAAAATTTCTATGCCAAGGAAAGGTGCCTAGAATACAAGGCCTACCATAGCCAAATATTTGAGTAAAAATACAAATGCTTGGCCCATTTGGTTCTTTTCAAACAAAAACTACAAGATTAAATTATCATATAACATATCCACTGGGGAAGATTAAAGTAGAAACAATGTTAATATGGGACCAAAAAGAAAAGGTCCATCGCTATAAATAACTTTGAGTAAAACACACCCCCACACACAAACACAATGTTGATAAATAATATCGAACAGCAATTTTAAATAAACACCAGTTTCACCAAGGCAAAAGAAGGGGCCACAAAAAGAAAAATTCAATTGCATTGCTCAGCCAATCTAAGATGAGCTTATGAGTGTAGCAACATCAAACCTGACTTATCATGTCATTTATCTGCTCCATGTGATCAGAAACTCGAGGTTGATGTGTTGGAATCAGGCACTGAAGAGCATTCATATCAACAATATATTCTTCACAAAAGCGGTTGCTTAATTTCAAGGGATCTTCACCAATTTCATTTGCTCGCTTAATTATCTGCAGCAATTCTAATAATAGTTGACTAAAATAAGCATTGAAGAACAAGTTAAGAAATTCAGGTAAGATATTGAAGATTTAGGGTTTATATTTTACAGGACAAAACACATTAATAAACTTCTGAGAGTAAGAATTCTCACTAAACAGGAACACTAACATAGCAACAGAAAATGAAAAGGAAGCAAGAACAAAAACAATTTGAAAACTTCATTTGAACTATACCAAGAAGTTTGATGCAATTCACATATGTTCAATCACAAGGCAGATGGGTTACGCACAGCCCATTTATAAAGCTACATCATAAGAATCGTATCAATACAAAAATCAGGCCTAAATGCCTAAATGCCTAAATACTTGTTTTAATCCAGTACAAAGGAAATGTTTCATTATAAAAATAGTAAACAATTTTTCCATTGCAATGGAAACACAATAAAAATCTATTAAGATAAAATCTATCATGGCAGGTTGCCAATATATACATATAATATATATATCAAGTTGTAAGTATTCAGCAGCACTAGGGGGAAAAATTAAACTTCTTATCAACATCCTGAGACCAAGGCTTGTACTTGAAAAATTTATAAATACAAGTTTCTCAAACCTGCAAAGTTTGGGACTCCGCCCCTAGAGCTAGATCCACTCATAATGATTCAACAAATCCTATTCGGTGACAGTGCACAATACTGGACCATTTTCAAACTATTAATCAAATGTGTTGGCTCATACTTTAGCTTAACACTGTATGATTAGACACCATTTCCTAACACTGCTGCCTCACACGATCTATTAAATTAACATGCTTTTGCTCTCTATTAACATGAGAATATCATTTAAGTTGGTATCAAATCATATTTTTTTAACATACTCCCCTTGGTCCCTATCATAAGGCACCACTAACTACCTCACCAAAACTAAGGAGAGGTATTTAAATCATTAACTTTGTCTGAAAATAAAATAAACTTTAAATTTTGCCCCTATTTAGATGAAAAAGTTTTAAATTTGCATTAAACTTCTCTCTCACAGTTAATGAGTTTAAATTTGGGTAATATTAGAAAAATATAATTAATACCCATCAAGTGCCTTATATTAATAACCAAAAAATCCTTCTAGAAGGAGCTCTGTAATAAAGACCAAAGGGAGTATATCCTTATAATTTCATATCAGAATCTTATATCAGAACCTTTCCAACTCTAACTGAAAATAAATTTAATAATGATAATTAACTGAAACCATATAGAAGTGATAATGATTAATTAAAAAGGTAAAGAAAGAAAAAGAAGACAAGCAGAGAGATGGTCTTGAACAAAAGCCGAAACACACTAGAGTAAGAAATAATGAAATATATCAGCAAATTATACATATGAATTCTCACCTTGTCATCAACATCAGTGAAATTTCGCACATATGTTACTTCATAGCCCAAGTGTTGAAGGTATCTGTAAATTTAGAGGTAAAGCACATGACCAAGTACCATGTATTAAATCTCAATTTTTACATGTGCCATAAGTAACTAGGGAACAAGAAGTATGGGGGAAAAAATCAAAAAGGTTAAAAAAAAAATGTTTGCCACTTTTCCGGTACTTCTAACTCAACATCTAAAATAAAGTAACTCTAAAAAAGTGACAAACGTCCCATAAAAGACAAAAGTAAAAGCCAGCATGCATTCTAAATCCAATCCACATGATCATTTTCATAAACAGCAGTCAGTTGGGGAAGGCACATCTATGGCTATCCAGGGTAAGCAGGAAACCTATGCTATGCATACTTATTAATGAATGCACACATTAAGCATTCCATGCACAAGCTCAAAGGATTCAAATTCTGTATCAGAAAGCCAAATTTGGAATCATAAATTATAAATTGGATTGCATAGTATATAAGTCAAAAGACAAATTGAGATATAGCCTAAATGAAAAATCATATATATTGCTATCCACTAATATTCAAAGTATTAAACTTAAACCAAGAAACAGGAAGATTTTAATCATAAGTCTCACAAAACAAAATTTTAACCAATGTGCAATTCAAAAAAGGAGAACACTTATTGCAAGAGAAGTTTGTAAACCATGCTACAGCAAAACGTTTAGGACTTTAGGTTTTGTAGATGTGGGGATATTTTATATCTGGGATTTCTTAAAAGAAATGAAACACTTTATTGGAGCAGGAATATTTCATATATGGGATTTCTTAATAAAATGACACAGAGCATCTTCTAATATCCAAGCATACCAATGCGTTTTAAATATCCCCTTTTACGATATGAAATATGAAAGGGAGAGGCAGCTTGATGAATGACATTGTTTCATGTAAGGAAAGGGGCAAAAAAAACTCAATGCCTCCTTCACAAAAGCTGTTGGCATTGGATCGTGCAGGACTCAACTTCATGAACTGACAGCATTGCTCGGTTATGAATTGCCAGTGTGCCCAAATCGTGTTTCCAGGGCAGCTCAAACAATTCCAGCAATTTAGATGTATGATTCTGGCTCCTTTAAAATTCAATGGCTGACTGATATTGTTCTCAAGATGAATTGAGTTGGATCATGCATTCTGAATTGTGAATCACACAGTTTCTATTCACTATGGAAAAAGGCTTTACATGGACAAGAGTGCAAGATCCAGGAGATAACATTAGATAGCCAACAATAATGTCTTATACACGAATGCTAAACCTCCAGTTTAAGCAGCAAAAAATAAACTTATAGCAGCTAGTTTCAAATTTGATTTACCTCCCTATTTGTCTTTAAGTCATCACAATAGGTAATGCCAATAGACTTGTATAGGATTTGCCAGAGTAAAAACATTGAAAATTATAAATGGCAATGCATACTAATTTTATTTATCGATTGGCTTCCAATAATGCAGAATAACATATCATGAGAATCAATGGATTCCAGATCTGTCACATCCAAACAGGATTATCCTTCATCCACGTCACTGAATTCTTCCATTTAGCATTAAAGCATCTGAAGTTCTAATAAAATAATCGATCCTACACGGAACAGAAGGCCTCCTTTTTTGTTGAACAACAACATAGTAAACAAACGTATCAGAAATCAGCCAAAACTGATCACGTTCACATAATCCCTGTCAAATACTAATAGAAATATATTTTCTTTTGAACACCACGTTAATAAATTACACGAGTACAAACGCTCCTAACCCGGTCAGTGCGTACCTATAGAGGATATCAAAATTGACAGCAGCACGAGCGTGACCCAGATGGCTGTAGTCGTAGGAGGTGATTCCACAAACGTACATAGAAACTTTACCAGGAACAAGAGGCTTGAATATCTCCTTCTGCTGAGTCATTGAATTGTAGACCTTGAACTCCTTCTCCATCGCCATCTCCACTAAAGAAGCCCTTTTTCCGCCCCCCTTCAACACCCTGAGCTGTGTCTAGCAAATTTCAACCCGGGAGTCACAAAAAGCGAAACCAAGTCTAAATATCGCTTCAGACGCACGCGGTGTGGAATTGGCAGCTCGAAAACTATTTAGAATCCAACAACGGAATGTTTTTTTTTTTTTTTTGGGGCCCATTTTGGGTCTGCTGGGAGCGGTAGTTGGTAGCCCAAGCCATGACTGAAAAGGGAAAATTGTTAAAAGGACCCAAATCAGAAGGATATTTAGTCCGACATCCCTTAAAAGGTGTGATTTTTACATTATTGGAGGACCTCAAGATAAAAGAAAGGAAAATAATCCCAACCCCTTTGCCTTTCTATCTCCTCCTCCACGTTTAATTGAAATATATTTTACATCCCATGCATCCCACAGGAACATAAACAATCCATATCAGAAGAAGTATACAAGAATTTACAATTTACAAATAAATAACTATAAAAATATTGTAAATAATAATTTATTTTATTTTCGTATGAATTATTTTAAAATTTATTACCTCGTATAACAACTTGAATTATTTAGAAATTATATATATATTGCAAATATAAATATCAAATTAGTTTATTTTAAAATATTTTACACAATTCAAGTTAAAATCTTTATAACATTTTTTTATATTTGATAATTTATTATCTTGTATGAAAAAAGACACAACATATTATATTCTAAAATTTACTACCTTACCCACCTCGTGTGTTAGAAGTTATTTAATAATAGGATAAAAGGGTACAGGCAAAAAAATTATATATTCATGGCCCCTTTATTTAAAATTAAAAAATTAGTAATTTTTGAAATAATTTAAAATTTTTATAAATATAAATTTATTTTATTGAGATAAGCAAATATTATTTTATATTTGATTACAATATAAAAAAATAATTAATTATTAGTTAGTCATTTTTAATTTTTTGTAATATTTTTATTGATTTATGTTTTATAAAGATGACTTATTATTCAATTATTTTAAAATTTTATGATATTTTATGTATCCTAAATTTTTAAAACATTCTTTTTTCATTTACTGCATTAAATTATTTTTAAAAGTTACGTTAAAATAATTAAAAATAATTTTTTTATTTTGATTATTTTCATAAGTTTAAACAAGCATTATACAAACTTATAAAATAGATATAAAAAATAAACTATTTTTTCATAAGATAAGTTGAAACAAAAAACCCTTAATCTTATATTTTTAAAGTGTTTATTTTCAATTAAATAAAAATATATGTATCTTTTATAGACAATATATTTCATAATAAATTATTATTATTAATATTATTAACACATTAAAATTTATTTTTTATTCAAATGAATAAAAATATATTAAGTATATAAAATTGAGTATCTAAGTCTTGTCCAAGAGCAAATAGACTCCTAAATTATAAGTCTAACAACATTTAGAACTTTAAACTCATTTTGATATAATATCCTCCTTCATCTTTGAAGATCGTGCAATTTAATCCTTATTATTAACAAAAATTAATTTAGATAGTTAATTAACCAAAGTATACTGTAAATGATCCAAAAATTATAGACAATAGCTAAGAAATTTTTACTGATAGATGAACAAATTAACCCCTAAACTGTAAGTCTAAAGGCATCTGAGACTCTAAAATTATCTTTTATACAATATTTTTCTTAATTTTAAAAAATGATACAATTTGACTTTTTGTCGTTAACAAAATTTAATTTTAATCATTAATTAACAAAAAAATAACAAAAAAAAACCTCAAAATTACAGTAAAGAATCTAAAAATTAAAGACAATAAGCATAAAATTACAAAAAAAGGACTAATTTTTTGGTAATTTTCTATATTTTTTGTCTTTTTCTATCATTTACAGGCAACTAATATTCAGATTGCATCATCTTCTAAAGTTGAAAGGAAAGATTGCAAAAAAAAATTAGTTTAAATCCTAGGCGCTTCTAAAATTATAGTATAAGAGTCAATTTGCTCATTTACCCAAAATTTATTAGTTTTTTTATAATTTTAAGATCATTTTTTATATTTTTTAGTCAACTAATGATCAAATTTAACTTTTATTAATAGCAATGATTGGATTGTATTATTTTTAAAAATTGAAAGGAAACCTTGCAGATTGTATAAAAGATAAATTTAGGATCCAAAGGCTTTTAAACTTATAGTTTAGTACCAATTTATTATTTTATCCTTAATAATAATCTTGTTATTTTTTATCATTTGTTACTTTTGTGCATTAAAATTATAAACAAAATTTATGTTATTTTATAATTTATTTCCTTGTACATATTAAAAATATAAGCAATAAATTGTTTAATTTAGAATTTTTTATTTTGTATACATTAAATTTCCAAGCAACATAATTTTTTTACTGGATTGCACAGTTACCTTTTTATAATTTATATAAATTAAATTTGTAATTTTATTGAGATTTCATATTTTCTGTTTTTTAACTGCAAGTCTTACATACACTCACTTTTTTCATTGAGTTACACACCCATGTTATCAATGCAAGCTCCACATAGGTTTTTTATCGTATAAAAATAATAAAAAATGAGAAAAGATAATTTTGATATTGTAATCAGTTTTTTAAAACCGGATCAGACCGAACGGTCAGACTGGTCTGACAATTGACCATTATGGATTCCGGTTTAGTTCATATGAGAAAATTATTTTAATGGTTGAGTTGGGTTGGGCCATTCCGAACCGGTAGTTGGATCGAGAATCGGAATCAAGTTAGGAACCAGATCTGGTTTTCAAAAACTGGACTGTTCATATTTTTTTTATTTTTTATCAATTTTTTTTAAAAAATGACTACTTTTTTAAAAAATTGACTAATTTTTTAATCATTTGATATTATGTTGTATCATGTAACTTGTTAAGTAATGATAAATTTAAAATATTTAATTTTTTAAGTTAAGTAGCAATTTCATATATATTTTTTATATTTAAATTATTATATACATATATAATTTTTTTAATTTAATTATTATATCATCGATTTGACCATTAGTCTAATTCAATTAAATCATGTGAATCATAAATTGTTAATTTTTTTAATTTAATATTCAATCCGATTCTGAAAACATTAATTGTAATTCATCAAATGACATATTAGAATGTGTGGCCAACTGCAAGTTGCCTCAGCGGTAACTCCAACTCCCTGCAAACCTAAGATCCAAGATTCAAACCCTGCTTTGACAATTGGGTGTTTGACTTGTTTGCAGTATTTAATTGATCTCTATCAAAATAATAATAATATTTAGAATATATGAATAATGAAAAAATGCAACCATCGCACCACACATGGAAACACATAAATTAATCTTATAAATTTTGCAGCGAGCTATAGATTTTATATATGATATAAAATATATAGATCTGCAATCCAAATGGATAATGTTAAGCTATTATAACCCCAAAACAAAAGGTCACATAAAATCTTCTACTAGATGGTGGAGCATAATCGCACATATACATTAATCGAAGTCTCGTAAACAAGCTACACTTCTTATAATTAAGTGAAGAAACAACTATGACTTTTTTTTAAAAGTAAAAATGGGTATTTCAACAGTCAAAGAAAAATACAAAACAGACATGGCAAAGAGAAACCAGGCTAAACAATTAATCATGTGTACGAATTTACAGGCAAAATCAAAAGGACACAAAAATGAATGAGGTGATCATGTTCATAACATCCATTGTCTGTCCAATAATAATAATAATAATAATAATAATAATAATAAAGTTAAATTCTTTCAACTGTATTTTACTGCATTTGATTATCTTGCTTTAGAGTCAAGAAAATGGGCTACACTTGGTCGGTTAATTAGTTCAGCTCGCGAAAAATGACATGTTACGTTGAAATTTTTCTAGCCTATTTTTACTCACTTTGATTTATATGATTAATTTATTGAGACAGTGTACTTAGGTGATTAGCCATATGACAAAATATTTGGTTTTTATATTTAATGTTTACATGTTTGATTTTTCTAGTGATTTATTCCCTCTGGTTCTCATTGTAGGATATTTTTAATCATTTCGCATATTTTAAAAAAAATTTGCATCATAAAAAATGAAAAATACTTCTATTTTTACCTTTAGTTTTAATTAATGATATAATTATATTAAATACTTTTACATTAATTAAGAAAGGGTAAAATTAAAAGAAAAAAATAATTTAATTATTACAACATATCTTATATTTTAAATAAAAAATTATTTATATAATGTATCTTACAAATAAGATCGGGATACTATTTTTATATAGATATCACAATTATGTAAAATCAAGTAAAAAAATTCCATGGCTTATATTTAAGAAAAATGATAATAAAATCTTTTTAAATTATGTAAATATTATTTTAATCTCTCAAAACGCTATAATTCACTTAAAATCCTCACATTAAGAAATTAATTTTCTATAAAATTAAAGATCAAATAGTATAAGATGAGAGTACAAGAGGCCATGGCCTAAGAAAATTGCATCGAAGGAAGGAAGAATGACGGTCGCTATTGCCAAAAGCCCAAAACTGGTGTCGCGCCTCTGCTCCCATTCCCTTCACCCTTTTTCATTCAAAAGGCATGCGTCTCTCAACTTAAAAGAAAACCTAATATTTTAATAAAAAGGACAAAATTATTTTTAATATTCTTAATTAAAAACTACACTAAAAAATTTAAAATAAATATAAATAAAGTTTTTACAATTTAATTCTTGATTTAATCTTTAAATATATTTATATTTTTTATTTAAAAATAATTTAGATTAATATTTTTCAAATCAAATTCATAAGATCTGTACAAATAAAATAAAATTAAATAGCGATTATATAAAAAAATTAAAGATATCATTTATACTTTAAAATTTAAGATTTAGTTAGTTAAAATTCTAAAATTAAAGATTGGCTAGTAAAATCAAATAATATCAAATTAAACTCAATTAGTCTCAAATAAATATTTAAAAATTTAAATTAAAATGATAAAAATATGTAAACTTGTCTTGAGAGACTTTTATGTCATTAAAGAATTAATATAAATAATCAAATTATTCTTAATTTAAATATCAATCGTCATTCACAAATTTTATTATAAGATTCATAAATTTTTTTTTTACAATAGCAAGAATTCAACAACAATTCATAAATTTATATTTTAAATTTTGATACTTTTCAAGTGTTTTAAGTATCAATTATCATTCACAAGTTTTATTCTAAAATTTATAACTTTTCTTCTTAAAATTACACGAATTGAACAACAATTCATTAGTTTAAATTAAAAGCAATTTAATCATTTATATTTATTCATTAATGATAGAAAAGTTTTTAAAAATTTATGACATTTTGAGAAATCAAAATGTTATTTATATAATTTAAAAAAATTTTACTATTATTTTTTCTATATTTAAAAGTTTTTAAGTTAATTTAGTCATATGGTTTTAAAATGCACAGGAACAACTTGAGTCAATTCTATTTAAAAATTTTAAAAACATATAAAAATTTAGGAAAAAAATAAAGGCTGACTCACTAGTTCCCTTACGACAATTTAGATTAAAAAAATTACAACCTTCGAGAAGGAAGCAGGTTGATTCAATCCAACCCGTCCCACTTGGCCCACGATAATTAATCTACTTTTGACTGCGTAACATGATTTTCCAACTCTATCTTACGACCATTTCACGATTATTTACCTTTAATGTCAAATAAAATAAAGGAAAAGTCACCAATACGGACTTGGTGAGACGGTTAACTGCAATTGACGATCACAAAATTCTGAAATTAAATTTGAGGACCATACCCTTTTTCTATGATTAAAAAAAGTTTTCTTTTAACTAAAATACGCTATGTTTGGTCCAAAAAAAAAAAACTAAAATACGCTATGTGGGTAATACCGTTTCAAACCGATTAAAAGATATCGTCAATTAAAAATTTAGAAATAATCGAAAGATGTGAAAGAAGGAGAAAACATGAATTTGGAGCCGATCAAAACCACGCGAGTTCTGTAAGGGGACAAAATGCCCACTCTCATAAGGTGTTTTAGTTAAAGAAAAAAAAAACTTTTAAATTTACAAAAAAGGACCACGGTCCTTAAATTTAATTTTAAAATTTTATGATCATTGATCATAGTGTTCTTTGCAAAACAATAAATACTAGGCATTGCTACAAACGTTAAGTCTTAAAGATAATAATAAAGTTCTCAATTGGACTCATTTACCTCAATTCATCCAAATGTAAAAATAAAAAAAAATTAAAATATAAAGTGTTTTTTTATTAATGGGTGTGAAGTATAAAGTCACAATGACTATAGTTTGAAAAATTGTAAATATTTCTAAGCCAAAATTGTAAATACAAAATATTCTTGGGTAGTAAAAAAAGGGCTTTGGTGAATACTAATATGATGTTGCTGTTCTTCTGATGATGATCCCTCCTTTTGCAATCGTTAACTCCTTTTGTAAGCATTCATTTGAGATCCTTGCACCTGCAAGCTTTGAAGCCTATTCGTAAGATATCAACAATAATTTAACATAGCCTTATAAGATTTGTGACATGTAAGATGATAATGTTATATTCACTCAATGATCTTTAACATCCAATCACTTCAGGTTTTGAGAGCTATGCCAAGTACGTGCATGGATTGCTCTTTTTTTTGGAAACAGATCGGGCTAGGTTTATACTTTCAACTTGAGCTTGTCATTTTGTCCAATTCTCTCTTCTTAATTTTGGGCTGACATTTTTATTTTAAACCCAAACACATGGTTAACTGTTATCTATGATTTTTATTCATGATTTTCCCAAGAAAAAACATCAAAATATAAAATCATTTATATAGTTTGAGTGCTTCAGATTAAGTGCTAGGTAGTGGCCCGAAAAAAAAAAAAAAGATTAAGTACTTGGCAAAGGGCGACGCTCATGAATGACAAACTTTATAAACAAGTACAGATAAAAAACATTTATCACGTCTCTTAATCATTGATTTCCTTTTCTACTTATTATTTTTTGACTGTTTTGTCCACATGCCACAAAATAGAACAAAAAGAAAAATATAGTTTTTTTTTTGGGACCCATGACAAATTAATTTATAATTAATTCTATGGGCATGCTCGAGAAATAGATCCCTAGAACATGACTTCAATCAATGTTGAAAAGAACACAAAGCAGTGACATGTAATTATTAACAGAAACCATAAAAAAAAAAAATCAAAAGATGAAAAGAAGAGAAAAGGCATGGGAGAGCCCATAAAAGAAGGATGGCGTGTTTATTTATGTCTCCCGAGCCTTAAACATATTGAGGTCCTTTATTTGTTTTTGTCCATTTCAAGCCATTGACAGTTACTTTCATTTCTCATGGTCCATTCCATCATCACCATGACACTTCACGCAGATTTGATATATATATATATATATATATATATATATATCAGCTTAGATGTCTCAATAATAATCCAATCGAATGTGAACAAATCAAGCACGTAAGGAATTTATTTATTTCATTTCAATTTCTGCATATTTTTTTTAAATAATAACATTCTTTGAAATTATGTGTACTCTCAACGATTATATATTATTTTTGCATAATATTGAGTTGATAAATTGCTTTAAAATTTTAAATAAAATTAAAATATTGGGATTGCAAAAAATCATGAGAGTCATAAGATAAATTTATTACACGAGACTAACAAAAAATAATCTAATAAAATCCACCAATATTGATTAAAAGATAAAGAATAGAACATATATACACAGGCATATGACGAATTGATTTATTTCATTTCAATTAAAAATGATAAATTAGTTTATCATAATAAATGTGTTAATCATTTATATGCTTGTCATGATATATGTGAAAAATATGTTTTATCAATTGATAGTGTTGATTTATACAACTGGCGAAAAAAATGTTGATTTATACAAAATTATTAAATTAAACACACATATATTTTTGAGAATATATGTACTAAAAACTTTTTAAGAAAACATAATCTTTATTTGTTAAAATTTCATCAAGTTTTATTTTTAATCCTTATAATTAAGTCCCTATAATTTTTATTTTTTAGTGGTTCTTAATCCCTAATAATGGAAAAAAAACTACATGAACTAAATGTAAAACTCAATAAACTATAAAAACTAAAGATTATATTTTTCTATTATTTTCTGGATAAGTTTTAAGTGAGACTATTTAAGTATTTATTGATAGACCTTATCATGTTTTTTTTAATATTCTCCAATTAAGATTTTATTTTACATATTATATTATGCTATTAAAAATTAGTAATAAAATAACTCTAACAAATATCAATGTATCACATCACAATATATGATAAAGTTTATAATAAAACCCATTATTTATTCTTACTTATTCCTTCAAATTTCATATAACAAATGAGAAAATATGTAAAATATATATCAAAGCAGCCTTCAAGGTAAAAAAATGTACTAATGGAGCCTTATTTTGCTTCTTCTTCTTGTTTGTTTGTTTGTTTTTTTTTTTAAACCAACAGCGTAATTTTGCCGTTAACTTATTAAAAAATTGATCAATCTCAACAGTATTACTCAGGCAGGGCAGGCATTTAATTAATTTTATTTTATATTTTAATTATCCCATTGAATTTACAGGAAGCCTCACATCTCACATGAGCAGCAGGAGCCAAAAACGATGGAAGCAGAACCCACTTCCGGGTGTGAGGATTTGATCACGAACAAGAACTGCGAAAAATGATTGTAATGAAAAAAAAAATCTACAAAATCTTCTACTTGTTCTTCCTCTTGATCTTCCCATTACAGAAAAGCGAACCAAATCCAAAGAAACCCACATAAGCTTTTGGAATATACGCTTGCGGCAGATTCAACACTGGACTGATTCGAACCCCATTACCAGAAGATCCACATTTCTTACTATTTACAGAACAATTCCGAGACGAACTATAGAAATAAAATGTACTTGAAGTTGAAGAAGACGACGACGACGACGACAACGATGGCCTTCTGCTAGAAACAGAGGATTGTTTCTGCAACCTCTGTTTCTGTGTTTCCTTTGGAATCTCAGATGTTTAGGATTCAGTGACGAACCAGTCGATTTGCTTCGCGATAGAAACTGTAATGATCGAATCAAGCTTTTTCCACGTGTGCCTTCATAATTCAAACTACTACTTCGCTTGAATTGCCAGAAAGATTTCGATGGAGGCTTTTCTTCTTCGTTTAGGAACTCTATGAGTCTCTTTTTCTTCTCTGTACATCCAGTGCCCAAAGTTTCAGAACGAGGACAAACAACAGACTCTGAAAATGGATGAATCTCACTGTTAGAAGAAGAAGAAGAGGGATTCGGGGATTTTGATTTTTTAATTTCCATCGGCACGATCTTGCCATTGGAGAAAAGCTCATCAGCAGAAGACAGATCTTGAGACAACACAGTATCGGAAATGCAGAAGACAAAGTCGGAGCTGCTGGATTCCAACAGGCACAAGTCCGATCGCCTGCGACGGTGGTCTTCAAGTGGGTCGTCGGCGTCGTCATCCTTAGCGTTCTTCAGATCATGCGAGAAGGAGATTCTAGGGCTGATTCCCGCGCTGGAAATCTCAGAGCACAAATCTATAGCCATGGAAACCGAAAAACCTCAGTCACTGGGGGAACCAAAAACGGAATCTTGAATTGAAGGACAGACAGCAATAACCGCGAAAAAGTTTCAAAATTTAGAAGGTGACAGTGTTAGTTGAAATGAGAACCAAAATGGGGCAGGAGTAACAGAGTCAAAGGAAGTGAAAGAGAGAGAGAGAGAGAGAGAGAGAGAGAGAGTTGAAATGTTGAAGAATGGGTAAGAAGAAAGTCAGAAATAGCAGCTTTAGCTTTAGGTTGTGCTTTTTTGTCCGAGCTAGGAGGAGCTTGGACTTGGTGGAGCATCCTCCAAAACGGAGAGGGACAATTATGGAGGAGGAGGAAGATGATGATGATTAGGATCTGGGTTTGGATTTATAAGGTTTGCTGTGGAAAAAATTCTTTGTGGAAAAGGAAAGGAGAGAAAAAGCAGAGCAAAGTAAGGAATAAGAACTTGAAATTATCACCGAAAGCCTACTAAAGGATCTCTCTTTTAGGGGTTTCCAAAGAATTTTTACCCCTGGATTTGTCCTTTGCAATGACTATGCATGAGTATGTCAGTATGAGTACGAGAGAGGGCGACACTGAGCCACCACAAGTTCAAATAAAGTTGTTGAGATTTGGACATGTAAAGTCATTTGTGGATGTGATTTTGATTAGCTCAAGAAGATCAGAAATCGTAGCTTATGATTCAAATTCATGAGGTTAAACCAACACTTTATTAGAATTATACGCCCCTAGCTTTTGATTTTATATATAAAAAAAACTTTTGATTTTACTTAAATTGGGATGAAAATATTTTAAATTTACATTACATTATTTCTCATAATTAATGAATTTAAATAGAGGTAATACTAAAAATATATAATTAATACTCCTATCAAGTATCTTATATTAATGGTGATCAATCTTTTTTAAAAGGTATCTCACAAAATTGATGAGAGAAAATATAGCTTTTGAATATAATTGCCTCTGGTAATCTTCATAAACTATTTTAGGTAAAAAAAAAAAACAATCTTCATGAAATTTTGAGTTCCGCCTTAAAAAATTGTGTTGTTTTAGAAATTTTCCAAACAATTCATTTCAAAATTTCATGCATGATACTATAGAGACAAATTTGAAAATAATTGAATCAAAAGATTGAAAATTACATGTGATAAAATGGGAAGAAATCTTATATTGGATAGTGTTGGAATGAATTAATAGATGTAGTAAGTAAAAAGACATATTAACCTAACATTTTACATTTTTGAATTAAAAAATGATATTAGACTTGCTTATGCAGAGTCATGTTGCTTTCAATGAAAATTAACCCTGATACTTCATTTGAAATTATTTATTCTTTTTTCTGGTCACATATATTTTAACATTTAGTTTTGTTTCCTTTATTTTCCTGTAATTTTGTAACCCCCTCCTTAATGATGAGACAAGGTTGGTAAATTATTTCAATCCTATGTGCAGGAAAGACAAGGGGATCATGTGAGTGTTAATTGCCAGATATTGCTCTCATGTACTCATTTGAGAATCATCAAAATCCAATAACATTAATCCAGGGGTAAAGAAATTATCAAATTTAAGTAATAATTAAAAAAGTATATAAAGTACAAATCAAATCTTTGGATAAAAATTTTGTCCTTTTATTAAGTCAAGTTGATATAATTTTTTTAAATAGCCTTCTTTTCTTTTATTTTCTGTTGTTGATTTCCTTGGGCAATCCTAGCATATGGATGTAGAACTAAACTTAGGAAGTGGTGTTGTCCACATAGTAGGAACATTAAGCTTCATTAAGCTTCATCATGTTCATGTGACATGCCACGTAGGGTCCATTTGGAATTTGGAAGACAACAGAGAAATAGATACATAAGCCATAACCAAAATTGAGAGGAAAATTATGACTAGCTCAAATCTTTTTTAAAAAAATATCTTTAAAGAAGTCTTTAAAATCATAGTTATGGTTAATGATCAAAATATTATTAAATTCTATCAAAACTCACTCTCATCATTATGAATAACTAATTTCTTTTAATAGATTTAATCTCGTGTAAGAGTATGATTTTTTCAAAACAAGTCCTTGTCCTTCTGGAAGTACTTTGCCAATAAAATGTGACTTATTCAAGTACTGCTCTAAATCAAGGAAATATATAATTTTGAAATCATGATAGGATCTTGTGTATATATGATCACATCAGCCATTGATTCAAACTTTAGAGTTTCACAAGCAAAACCTGCAGTCCAATGGTTTGGTTTGGCGAGTGTTTTTATGCTTCGAAATTTATTAGAACTAATTTGAATTTAATAAGAGGAACGAATGGAGATGAAAGTCGTTTTTCCATAGCACTTGATAAAATGGTGCGTGTAAAGTTTGTGCAATTTGAAGCATTTTGTTAATTGTAAATGGACAGGTAGGACATATTATTCTTACTGTAACTAAATTTGCTCTTATTGAATTCAAGTCCTATAGTATTTGTACCAAATGTGTTCTTGTTTTACTCTTACAAGCTTCTAATTGTGCTTTGTGTGCGCGTTTTTTCAGATTTAATATCAGCTTCCAATCATTGAGTCTTAGCACATGTGTTTTGTGTATATGTCAGAAGTTACGTCGACATGAAAGTTCTAACGCGCGCGCGCGAACACACTGGACCCATGAATAAGTTGAAGTACATAATATATGTATAACTACTTCATCCGATTTTAATTTTTTTTTATAATGCAATTCCAGGTAAAAACCAAGTAAGGAAGAAGTCAGTTTATGTCGAAGTAAATAATGTTTATGCACTCTAAAGATGGTTCAACAAAAATTATAGCGCCAAAACGGTGCATAACGTGTGAGCTAATTCATATATCTATTTGCCTATCTAAAACATGATCGAATATAATAATTTAAGCTCTTATGACTAAATCTCTAAATCAATTTATAATATCAAATAAAGGATTATTCTTCTTGTAGTTGTGCTGAATAAGGTAAGAGTTTCAATAGACTTAAAATAAACATTGATGTTAGTGAAGTTTTCATTCCAGCAAAGTTCAAGGCTTTACAGGATATTCATAAGTTCTATTGCAGCCCCAGGATTCTAACTAAAGTATCTAGAAAATTTTTTAATTTAATTTTCTTAATTATCACATATGGGACCTCCATAGTGTCAATATAGCCATGAATGTCTAGTCTAATCCGGCCAAATTCTATCGGGCACCATTTTGCTTGAGGTCTATCATTATTTAGCAACTTGAGGTTGAATCTCTATTGTAGATTGAGGTCATTAATAATATCTTATATGCAAGAGAATAAGGGTGTTTACACATTCGGTTTAGTGTTTTGATTCGGTTTTGAGAAAAAAACTAATCAAACCAAATCATTTGATTCAACTATAATTTGGGACCTATTCAAGTTTGTGTCCTAATTGGTTTAGTTCAGCTTTTGAGTAGTTTAGTTCAGTTTAGTTTAAGTTTCGATCAAGTTTGAATTTTTTTTAATGATATATTTTTCTTAATCAATAATATATATTCATGTTCATTGATAATTTTATTTATCAATTATTATTTGTGATGAAAAAGATCTCTTGAGCACAAAATAAGATTTTTTAACAATAATTAGCATTTTTAACTATTAAAATCAATGTATTATCTTTAAAACACTTGATTATAAAATTTAAAAATATCTTAATTATAAAAACATTTAACTCATCATAACTTATTTTTACTAATGATTCACAAATAACTGAACTTGGAAAAGAGAAAAAAACGTTGAAAAATTTATAAAAATATATATAATAAATAAGAAAAATATAACTCTGGATCCCTATACTTTGTTCATGTTTTGCTTTTGATCTCTGTACTTTCTTTAATATTTAAGATCCTATACTTTTATTTTTCATTGTCAAGAGGGACCTAAAATAATGAAAGACAAAAGTATAGGAACCTGAAATATAAAAAAAATATAAGGATCAATAAAAAAATGTGATAAAGTGTAAGAATTAAAAATTATGTTTTCCAAACATAATAAGACTGGTTTGGTTTGGTTTAAATTTTCAAAAACAAAAATTTGAACTAAAACGAACTAACTGGTATTACCCAAAAAAAAAAAAAACTAAACATCATTTATTATGGGTTTTGATTGGTTTATGTGAATTGGGTTCAGTGTAATAAGTTTAGATTGATTTTGAACATCCTTACAAGAGATAAGAGATGGTAGTATCTTTGATAGGATGGTGGGTGCCTATACATATATAAATACAGTATGTATTTATAGATAGGAAGTTTTGTGTCGAACGATTGGATTAATTTGTTATTCCAATTTTTAAGGCTTACTTAGTTACTTGGTTTCAGTGTAGATTTATAAAATTGAAATGAAATCTACGTAAAGCATGTGATATAAATGAGGAGGAAGTAAAAAATCAAAAGAGAAGGTCACAGGGATAAAAAAATTAAAACAAGGAGGAAATAAAATTGTATTTATATATAAATTGCATTATACGATTGAAATTTGAATGGATGGAATACTTCTGTTTGCTATTCAGATGTTTGACAAATTCTGACATTGCTCTCAGAAGATTCTTTCATTAGTTAATGTAAATAGTAAATACTAAATACTAATACTAACTAATAGTATAGCTCTTCCTCAGATCCTGCACGGGATCAGTTTCGATGCTCAGCAATAAGCTAAGCAAGGGGCGCTCATCGTCAAATGTACAGCTTTAATAAGTCAAGGAAATCTTGCACATTCATTGCATGAAATCTTAGCTGTCCAATTCTAAAATTTCTTTCATTTTTTTAAATAAGCTTATAAAAATTTCTAAACCCCCTGTTATCGATGGAGGTTTCTGAAATTTCCTCTCCCCTGTATTCTCCATATTCTCCATAGAGGGCAAGGCATCTTGGTTGAACGGATTTGGTTGGGCAGTGCAGAAAGGCATCAGATTTGGCTAGACAACTTGTATTCGCCCATGAGCCTCATGGACAGCAACCGTGCTTAAATGTTGGACGGCAACATCAGATCTCATATACTTTAGGTTTTAAGCTTCTTTCTCATCTTCCCCTCTATAATCTACATTCAAGGATTAGATAGGGATACCAAATTAACATTATCAAGATAGAACACCAAATGAAATTGCCAAGACCAAGTTTTTTTTTTGATTTTTTCAACTAAAAATGACTTTGCCATTTTCTTATAAATTGATAACTCTAGTTTTTGCACATGGCTTTCTATAAATGCATGCTCTTGTGAATTGACCCTTCAGGTGCCTCAATATTGCTTTAGTTCATGTAAATCACAAATGTTATAGTACTTGTCTTCGTTTAGTATTATTCAATATCATAGGGATAGAGATGGGTGAGTGACTTCTAGGGGAACATGTCTGATGACTTAGTTTAGTTAGCCGAAAATATTAATTATAATT